TGTTGGGGAAGGACAAAGACATTTTTGAAGACTACGAGATTTCTGCTTTCTTAAGTGCTCTACCGTTGTCTGGAAGAATCGTCCTCAGAAAATCAGATCCCGGAGAACTTTTTCAGCTCCGAGAAGTCAAACCTTTCATAGGGATGCATTCAACTGTTCTCTATTCCTCAAGGAAAACACCGTAATTTGCCTAAAACTGTATCTCTCTCTGCATAATTAATCGAATCTAATGCGGTCTGCACAAACAATTCTTGCCCTCGGATACGCCACGCACGCGCCTGTGGCTGGCAATCCTCGAAAGTGCGACCCCCTATCGACCAAAATGCGACCCCTTCGTTCGAAGAGTTCGAACGGACGCCAAGCGGGATGGTGCACTTGGTGGTTGACGTGGCGTAAGTGGTAACGCTCTAGGCTTGTAGGCGAGAGGTCATGGGATCGGTCTCACTTCGTCGTTTTGCCATTTTGAAAACAGGACCAGAAAGGCTTTTAGCGACACTATCTCCTCAATTTCTGCCTTTACCTGCCTGTGTAAGGAGTTAGGGAGCACCTCTGCGCAGGTTGAAGCTATTTTTAATTAATATTTGTCATTACTGGAAACGACGCTCATGGCCTACTGATAATGTGTTTTTGCGGTAAACGAGTACGATATTCGTGTTCAGGAGACCGCATTTTCCCTGGTTACAAGTTTCCAGCTGAATCTGAGATTTTGATTTACACTCGAGAAAGGGCAGTAACATACAGTCAAACGAGAAAAGGTATGAACCGAAAACTAACTGGAAAGGCACCTTCCCTGAATTTTGATGCAGAGTCATGTAAATTATTTCCATTATGCGGGAATGTGAGCCGTTGAACGTTTCTCTTTTCAAAATCTTGGTTGGAAGAGCAATTCCATGCCAAGAGTTCAACGGTAGGTTGATGATATGATGGTTGACTCGCCCCATTTTTTAGGGTTGGGTCAAAATCTCAGATTCGGTAGGGAACTTATCTCCAAGGGAAGTTTGATCCCCTGAACACGAATACCAGGCCTGTTTGCCGCGAAAAAGCCTAACACGTGTTACGGGCACCATGTTCATACATGGACGACTACTGCCCAAACCTGCAGGGAACTGCTCGAAATTTTTTCGTACAGGGAACTAACGGCAAAGTTGATAAATTGAGAAAATAGAAGCTTTCTGGCTACATCTTCACGAAGCACAAAAGAAACAGACTCTCCGAGGAGCCGTTCCCACGACCTCTTGCTCGCGAGTTCGCGGCACTACCACTGCGCTTCCTTGCTGTATAACTACGTTCAGTGAATCGTTTAGCGGATAAGGAAGGCAGTTCTTAGCTCAGCGCCTCGATGCGACTTCAACGGTATAGACTCATTGCAAATGGCCGGACCGGACTGATGACCTTCCCTTAGTAAAGAATCATTCTATTTTATAAAGCGCTAACTTTGTGTGTCGGTTTGTATGTCTGTATGTGTGTATGTATGTATGATGTATGTATGTAGTCTGTGTGCAATAGAATCGGCTAGTGGTCATAAGGCAGCCTAATCGGAACATAACTAAGCCGCCAAACAAATCGGGACGTAGCTCGCAGGATTGCGCCATCCAAGTTTTGCCAAGTACGATTCGTGATAACCAAATACAGTATAAGAATCACGACACTTAGCACCATTTTCGTCATTTCCACAAGGTGACTGTCGCGGTTGCCGCGAGCTGAGAGCAGAACGAGGTGTGAGTAAGGAGAGGAGGGTGAAGGGAAAGTTTACGCAAGGTAGGGAGGTTCCGGCGCTTGCCGGGGGACCAATCTGGTAAAAGGATAAAGAACAAGTCAATCACCAACGATCGATTCCTTCTGGTGCGCTACATCTTCTATTTCCATCCAGAATAACTATCATTTTGATAGAGAGTTGGCCTACCCAACTACTGCAGGGGGATACGATTCAGCGTTACTACTTTCCAAATCGTGATGTACCGATTCCTCTCATCAAGCTCGCCTTTCTTGAACACAAACACAAGCACCTCTGCAGGAAACGCTAAACACGATTATCACAAATATTTGTTGCAGTATAAGGAACAGAAATCAGCCACGCAATGGTCCTGTATTGCCGGCTTCGGTTTGGTTCCTTCAGAAGGTAATCTTATACTGCGATGGGAGATTCCATTGTTGGCGTAGAAGCGATTGGAGACGGTCCTTTCTTGGTCGGGCATAGGAAGGAAAAAACCCTGAACTAAGCTACAGTGAGAGAATCTTTTGCTTGACATACTGGAAGCGATCGGTCGGAGGAATCTGCTGCTCACTCCGGTGAAGCCTTTAAACGTTAGAGCTGACGGTGGCGTAACTTGGCATGCAGGAACCGCCTTTAAACTTCTAATATTTAGCAGATAAGAAAACTGTGAAGTAAATTGATTAAGTGCAGCCATAAACAAGCAAATGAACTGTTGTCCGGCGGGGAGGGACATCTGATGGTGCAATCTGCTAATGAATAAAATCAAGTTGAAGCTGATTGCCTTGTAATACACTCGAACAGCTTACAAGAAAGAACAGATTAGTAACCATCAAAATCTCTTTGAAGCAAAATAATGTCCATCTTTAGCAACTACGGTCGACAAAATAAGGCGATAACACAAGATACTTGGCAACAACAGCAAAGTGAGACTGAGCCTTAAGATAAGACCTAGATGGGGGACTTCAATGTGCGTAGTTTTCATATTCTCCGGAGTTACTGCCTACCTTCTCCTTGACTGAGTCCTAGGGGATGCCCTCGTATCTTGCGATAGTGTCACATTTCTGGACGTGTGTCGGAGAAATGTGCAAAAGCACAGTCATTATGTCAGACTTGCTCGGAAAGTATTGAAATTCTTAGCGCTTATTTTTGTTAGGTTTCTGAGAAACTCAACGCGCATGGCAGGTTTAGACACGATATCTATTGTTAATAGCATTACATACAATTGGGTAGCAAACGTCCCCCGTCAGACAACAGACCCCTACTGACGAAGTAAGCAAACCAGCCCTTTTGGCGTTTTTGGTGAGGCCGCATGCTCAATATTAAGAAGTGGATGGGTCGACGGTCGGCGGACTACTTCAACTCGTTCCTCAAAACCGCCTCAATTTGATGCTCACCTCAGGACTAAACCTTAAATGGAGGACGACCTCTCTCGCCTCTCCATAAGGCTTAGCCCTAAAATAAGCGAACCAGCCCTTTTGGCGGAGCTGCTAGACCTAGCTGCACCACTTCGTCACCACTCTCCTACCGTACCGACCGATCTGAAGTGGTGTGTCGACCGTCGCAGACCCCATCCTCTCCCCAACATTCAGCATACGACCCAAGTAGAAACGCTAAAAGGGATAGTATGCTTACTCCCTTCTGACCATTTGGTAGAGCTAGCTTCACAGTGGTTGTATTCCCCAGGCAAATCTGGTAGCGATTACCCGACCTCAGATATTTCTTGGAAATGTGATGTTTTTTTGTTTCCTCTTTTTCATTATGCTCGTTGATTCATTGAGAACTGGCGAAAGCATGTATTGCTGGATCGATTTTCAGAGCCATGTGGAGCATATGAGTGCCCCTGTAAGATTGAAGATGGACAATGCTTCCGAAAGAATTGGCAAGGTCCATAAAGAGCACGCTTATTTTTATTAGGAGAGATTTTTAAATAAAAGTATTCAAGTTTGCGACAAAGTCACTAGATTTGATGAATAAATACGAAGACCGTCACAATTATATGATGGAGTTGCGGGGCGATAATGAATATCTTGAAGAAAAACTTTTGAAATTTCATGGACTCAAGAAAAACCAAATTCCCCCGGATGAACCGATGGAGAAGGTGAGGTGAGCCATTCGTAAGCGTCACAAGGTCGCAGTGATTTGTCCGAATTCACACATTTAGCTGTTAGCTTACTCCTGTCAAAAAAGTCATCGTAATCATTCGGGTGCAATAGTCATTATGATCAACCATGGTATCGCATGAATTTAAAGCTGACTGGCTTATTCAGTAGCAAGTTTTACTCCATTACAGTATTTCCGACTCACTGCGTGAAGATCGCATTTCTGCAGGAACTAGTGTTGGACTGGGTCTAATCTAAGCTAGAGATTCTTTCAGGACAAGCCACGTATTTTCAAAACGGTTTTCTGCATATTGTAGGGAACACAAAACCATGTTTCATTTCCACTGAACGGTTAGCAGTGCTAAAAAGAAGTACGAGGTACTGTTAATGGTTCAACCTCACGTGGCGATTAACTTCTACATCTGGGTTGGCACCACGGGTTGGTGCCAAATCGCGCTAAATGCCAAGTTCAGATGTCATACTCATCGTCAGGACCATTTAGAAGCCAACAATTGGTTGCCAACTATAACTGCAAAATTTAGTCACTTGGGGGGGGGGGAAGGAGGGTTCTCAAACCATTGAGTGTATTATTTACCACTCTTTGATACTAATAAAACCGTTCAGCGAAAACGGAACATGGTTTTGTGGCTCATACATGCGTCTCTACAATATGCAAGAAACCGTGAAACCGTTTCCAAAAAGCGCAACTTGCCGTGGAAGACCTCCCTTGTAAGAGCCAGAAGAAGCTCATGGGGACATCATCTGACTGTCCCGTTTAAGGGCTACTTTCTAGCATTCCATGCCCAAGCCACCTGCTGCCAGAGCTCTGCTCTTTCATACCATCATGCCGCTGGTAATCTCTTCGCAAAGTAGGGTGGGAAGGACGTTCCAGAAACTTTTCAGCTGTTAGTTGGTATGGAGTTAGTACGTATTAATACACAAATACTATGTGCGAGCGAGTGAGAGGATTTATTCGTAGAAATTTTTTTCAACTTCACATCAAGAATTCAATCAATGTTCATTTTCCAGGAGGCCTGGATTAGCTTTAAAACACTGGCTGGTGAAACGGTAGCTCGACTCGAGACGGCCAAAAGCAATATTTTGGCAGAAGATGAGAAAGACAAGCGTAATGTTATGAAAGAAGTAAAGAAAAGTTTGGATGAGGTACTTACTCTGGCCTGACTTTGATGTTGGTAGATAGCCGTTATTGCGTACAACAGGTGGAGAAGATTTTGTCGGATATGGAAGAGCTGTACGAGCGTGAATATGATCGGCTTCATTTACAAACTACTAGGAAGGCCCAGTTGCGGAAACTAGTTCGGGTTGGTGAACCGAGCCAAGCGAAACCATTCCCTACTACACTATTCTTGAAATATGCCAGAAATAATTTTCAGTTTTGTTCAGAATGGTTACCCGACAGGATCGCAGCAGATCGTTCATGAAAGAGTACGTGCGACTCTGTTCATTGATTCGCTGTGTCTTATTACTGACGGACTACCTGAATTCAAGTTGTTATTCCGTCGAGGAGGTCGGCCACATGTTTTTGTCGAACTTCATGTCACTGCATACAAAGCACAAATGCTTTTCAATCTACCATTCCTGCTTACATCGGTGTCCTGAGAATGACCTCGTTAATAGTCGAATTGATGGTCGACACAATTTGCGGCCAGACACCCGCCTGCGTCAATCATTACTTATGTTAGCAATAATTCTTACCATTTTTCAACAGCGATTCCACCTCCACGGTGTCTGCGATAGCTGGTAAATCGCAGCGAACGATCCCAATACCTTTGAACTGCTAGTTTTAACAGTATGCCGCCAGACCCTACCGAGCGTTGCACAAATTTGCAGTCTGCCACGGCTTACATTTTTGAATGGAGCCATTTATGAAAACTATCGCGCAAATTTATCGCGCACAACATGACACGCTGTGGTATACGATACAGGGACTGAACACAGGGTGCTCGGCCCGTAATGGGTCCCCAAAACATTGCTAATGCGCCTCTATTTCGTTCGGTCAAGAATAGGGGATGCGTTCAGAGACGCAGACTTTGGGCTCTGTTCCCGGCCGGGTACTGCTGCATACGACCCCAGACCTGAGCTTCTCACTGAGGTACCGAAGCCTGCAGAGCTAACCGAGTCTAACACGAGCCTTCGATGTTCTCAAAGCGACAAAAGTATGTAGTATTCGGAAATCTACCATGATCCCTTTTGTGGGACGGAAATCTATTATTTATAGCACCACCGCCTGATCCCACACTACTCATAAAAGAAGGAAGATTGTACAAGTTCCGCATTGATTTCTATGTGCACAGATGCCCAGTCGAAGGACTAGTGTAGGACATGTTTCTAGAAAAAACCCTAATGACCTCATATGGTCACTTCTTTTTGCAGATACAAGCACACGGTACATCGCTTAGGCGAAAGGATTCTCGCTGAATGGTACTATCTCGGAGACTTCCAGCCTAATAAAGTTGTGCAAACATTTGCACTGCCGTTGGAAAGAGCTCCAGAAGGTAAGCGCTCCCTGAAACTTGAAGCCTGTTGAGGTAGAAGTCAACACTGTAGGCCCATTTCATCTTGGTATCTATTCCGTCAAAGGGATTATGGTCGACAAATACCATCGAGAGTTGGCCGCATGGCGCTGGTTCTTCAAAATCATTAAAAGCTGTGTGCAATGAATGTTTACTCAATGATATCTCGACCGTCTTTGTGATTTCAAATTCATTTCAATCGTATACTTTACCTTGAATGAACTGTGTTAATTACATTAAACTAGTAGCGTGTATCGTCATGGCAATGTCTTAATGCATGTGTTTTAAAAACAATAAAGCTCTTAAAGTTCTGTAAGACAATAACACTGTCAGTGCTAAGCTCAGCAAGTAAAGCATGGGCTTGAACCCGCCGGCAGAAATAAACGAAGGGGCAACAGAGAATCATTTCAGTCTTGAAAATACTCTATGTGCGTGGTGGCGTGGTTCTCGGTGACCAGTAACACACGAAAATGCGGCCCTTGCAACCAGAGTGGAAAGCGGTGGAAGATTCCTCAAGGCGGGTCGTATTAGCCTCTGTGAGAGGGCATCGTATTATTTTGGATTTTTGGGAAACGGTCAATTGAATCGTCAGCTAATGAGCTCACGCCAGGGTAACCGTCCGTTGGACAAAGGCCAAAGCGACGACGAGCGGGATGCTGGAGAGTAGAAGGTACCCGGAGCACAGGAACGGTCGCGGTTGGCGAGAGTGAATGCCGGCCGCGGAGAGGCGGGGAACAATCGGTCCAACGTCGCTCCAATATCGGTCCAACGTAACGGTTAACCCTGGCTCACGCCGCTCCTGAGCGAGCAGCGTCGCGCGCGGTACGGCGTTTTCTGTGTGATTCTTGGTTTAACCACCCATGTCCTTAAAGGAACCTTCCGCGGAAAAAGCTCCGCCTCCATTACCACAGAAAAACGATACCCCTTAGGCCCCTAGCCTCATGAGCATAGCAAAATGAACGGAAAATAAGCGTTAGTTTCGATAATACTAATCCTACACACAAGACAAAATGACCACTCTTTCCGTGGAAGATTCCTCTAGCGGTAAGATATCGTTTGCTGTGGTAGTGGGGGCGGAGCTTTTCCGTGGAAGATTCCTTTAGGTTGCAGGAGGGACTAAGTCACTGATAAGGCCAGAGTGCTAGACATTAGGAAGCCAACAAGCGTCATGTTATGATCTTTGCAATGGCTTGAGCCTCACAGTACAAAGCTTGTACCATGTGATCGTTGTCCTTTTGAATTCAATTTGACTTCTTTATTATCAGATGCCTGAACTCCTATCAGAGGGTGGAGTCTACTCCAATCAGAAAGAATATCTCGTTCCAAGACACCGAGGAACGGTGAGGAAGGCTCTAACGTAAGCATGATAGGATAAGCTCATAAATAATGGCAAGGGATAAGCGGCTTGCATTTTAGCAGGATAGGTGGGATTCATATTCTACGTTTCATGATCGGAACATTCATCTAACCTTACATTCCTCAATGTCCGAATACTATGTTCTGAATACTGACTGACGCGACGTCGCGAGCTAGGCGACTCGTGCGACGACCCAGTTACTGCAACGATTGAGTCGTCACGCACCCAAACGCAGAAAACCGACTTAAGCCGTTTAGACACAGCAAGACCCGAAGTAAAGCGTGAATTATAATGTTCTGCTGTAGTCACGTACAGTGCGCGACGCTGACGCGCAGGTGCGTGCTCGCCTCCCACTATTCGCTTTCTCTGCGCTTTCTCAGAGGAGAGAGAATATGTCGAGCCAGCCCGCCCGCTACACTGAGCGCCGTTCATGTAGGAGGCGGAGGATGGAGCGCACACCAGAATGGCCTGGTCAAGCGCGGCACCCGGGAAAACCTCCCTTAGCGCGCGCAGCGTTCACGGCAGGGACGTTGTAATTCACGCCTTACTTCGGGTGCTCGCTGTGTCTAAACGGCTTATCTCCAGAAAACCTAAAATGTGACGGCTGTTTCAGCAGAAATGTAGTACCTCTGTTCTATCCGCTTCACAGCAAATTAGAGGCGGAAGCGGGAAGTGTGTCACGCAGTTGTAGAGGATCTACAAATTAGGATCTCATCGATCAAAAGAGGCCGTATTGTGTAGGAGAGGGGGTCGTACCAAAAGCTCTATCAGGAGGGGGCGCTAGTACCTCTATGCCCGTTTCTTCGAAAATGTTCATTACTTTGCCATCCAATGAAAATTGTAGATAGGCTTGGGGTGAACGGATCATGCATGTTAGGTTGAGTCATAAGCAGTGCCTGATTTTGACGTCGATTTCAGATGATTGACTTTCTTTCCAAACAGTCTTTACTGGCTTCTTCAAAGGCCCGAAACTGCTCTCGAGCTACCCCAGGTAACAGTCCCATCTCGCTCACGAATGTATTGTACCGAACGCAACGAACGATTGTGTGTCTGTTACGAACTTCTTCTTCAACAAGTGAGCACAATAAACGGGTAGTATTAGGTTTAAGATCATTTGAGTGTGACGGATCAACGAAGGTCTTCTATGGCCTTTTGACTTTTAAATGTGAAATGTTCTTATGGTGTGAAGATATTTTTACCCAAACGTGGTCATAGCTTCGATCTGCAGCAAGGCTGCTCCGTAGGTTTTAGCACCAGGTGTCAAAATGCCTTCGTAATCAATGATCTATCACTTGAATAGTGTACTGACACGCTCCGAGATTAGGCAAGCTCACCTGTTAAATCTCCGATCGTGGTAGGCATGCGGACGAGCGTTGATGGCGTACCCCTTTACGGCTTGAAAGTGCATGATGAAAGCACTGGGAGCTCGTTTTGCTCGCAATCCACACCTTTGTATGCAAGCTCCGCCTTCAGTCGTCGCTACCACTTTGGCGCTGCCACGGCTGCGGCAGTGTTAGGTTGCGACTCAATGCCTCGTATCCTATTCGTGGTGTGTGGCTCCAGACCTATCTCAAGAACCTTGTGGAAAAGGTTTTTTTCTTTGACAAAGGAGAAAGTGAATGCAGAAAAAGAATGGGAATCTTGCATTTGTGCCAAAATTTCGTCACCGTATCGATTTCAGACCTAGAGTCAACAAGTTGCGATGGGGCAGCTTTAGCTATCCGCTCGTGAAACCAGGGTCGGCCGTTCGTTGGGCAAAGGCCAACGATGGGGTCGTATTCGGCCAGCAGAAAGGGGGGTCGTGTTTGCAAGGGACAACGCCACCATGCGTAGGTGAAAGGCATTGCTTTCAAGCGTTTTTCAAATACTAACCACAAGCGAGTGCATGGCGCACCTCAGAGCAGTAGAGCCCACTTTAGTGTTGTCTATGTGTGACTGTTCACGTACACAAATATGCTTCTGAAGAGAACTAATGTCTTCAAACTGAACCTATGTTAGTAAAAGATTGACCACTTGGGTAGATTGGCTGCTAAAGGCTAACAAAAAAAGTTTGGAAAAAATATTTGTCTGTCGGCGAGTTCCCTAACTGGGTTTAGTAACTGTTACGAAGCACAAAGCTTGCGCGATGTCACGGTAAGATTACTACCCATCAGATTGAATTTGAAGAGAGCTGTGAGTGTTTGAGCGTTGGAAACTCGTGTTTTCAGACGAGTAGCTCCCAAAATTCATGAAATAAACGGTCCAACGAGACGATTTTTGGACGGGTCATTGTCGAAATTAGTTCAAGTTCATTAGTTAGCTCTAACCTTCTAGTTTCTTCCACGTGGAGAAGAATTGCCTATAGTTGGATCTTGAGAAAGTCATAACAGTTCAAGCCCTAAAAACCAGCGCCCTGCCAAAAATCGGTCCGCGATTTCCCCAAAACGCTACAACGGGGCGATTTTTTGACTCCATCATCAAGCATTCGTTAGAAAGGTTAACCTTTTGGTTTATTCCAGGTGGACAGTAAATGCAAAAAGTTGAATCCAAATTAAGTTATAGTCATTGACAGCCAAAAAACGGGTTGTGCTTGAAAAACGGTCCAAAGGGGAGATTTTTTGAAGAAATGAAACTACAAAGTTTGGGTACTTTTCAAAAAGAAAACAATCTAGAGTTTCGAGATTTTCTTACCGCTTCTCACACTTTCTTATTTGAAAAAATTACAACATTTTGAATGGCGATGTGCGCATTTCTGTTAGTTCTTGATTCTCTACCCCATTAGCAACAATTCTTGAAGATACTGCGCAGCTGTGGTCATTTCCTGAAGTAGAGGTCTCGCAGATTACAAATCTACTTAGCGTTTAAAAAATATCGAAGTTGTGTAGAATTACACTCATTTGAAAATTAGTAGTCCGCTCTGGGCCGAGGAGAGGATTGTGCGCGCCAATGCTAACGCGACTCCACCGCGCTCATTCTGGTGTAAGGCTCGAAGTACAATTAAGTAGTACGCAAACACACAATCACCAAGTGTATAGTACATAACAAGTGTTTCGGGGTGGGGGCAGAGTCAACCCTGCGCTGCGCAGTTCGCAACGGCACGTTGAGAGATCCTCAGCGCAGCGCTGTTGGGCGGAGACGCAGACGGCCGAGCATGGCGAAGTGTGACATGTTCGGAGAACGTGTCTAATCGGGCGAGCGCAACGTGGCCGTTGAAAACTGCGCAACGCAGAGTTGACTCTGGTGGGGGGTATTGAGACTCGACAAAAGGAGGGGGCGATTTTCGGAATTGGTCCAACGTGACGGTTGACCTGCTTGAACTAGCCCGGTCAAGCAGAATAGTGGAGCTGTATGGGTGACACGCCGCGCGGAGGTCGTTCCAGCATCTTGTCGTGTCTTGGAGCATAACTCTTTGAAGACGTTATCCAGGTCATCAAGAAACTGACACGTTTTAGGCAAAAGGTCTACCGAGTAGGATGGTAACACCACTAATTCGTAGCCCAGCCGGATCAAGTTGTGCAGAACTCCGAGTCAGGGATGAGTTGGTCCCTTTATAATGAGGAATACTGAGCAAATTTTCTGGAGTTTCAGGAGTAATGTGAAATATTGTGGAGTGTACTTCACCATGAAGGGTTTCCACTTTTTTCCGAAGAGCTAGAGCAGTCGCCGATACTATGAACGTCACCTTAACCTTCCCTCAGTGCATTTTCAGTTTAGCAACGTTTGTGGAGACTGGTTATCCATCCAGCAAAAATTCATACGTTGTAGCAAAGAATCTGCTCTTTACCGTGTGTTACGAATGGGGAAAAAGGCT